AATACATCTCTCCCTGGCTATTCTAGCCATGGAAAGTGACAGCAGTGACTCGGAAGTGGCGTCATACACGGACATTCATCCAGACTTCTCTCCCTCCACCAACTGGCACCTGCCATGGTGCTCCCCAGGCCCAAAGATGTCAAAACAGAGCCCGGATACATGACAGGAGTGCTCACAAACATGTGGGGGGGGCACCATTACCAGGGGCTGTGGAAGCAATCGGGCGGCAACGCAGCCGCCTGACTGCTTCTACCTGACAAGCAGGAGTCTGCCTGTCAGTTTTATACACAATCCTGGTGTTTGCTGCAGCCACCAGATTTTGTAGAAAACCTCCACTGTCAGGTTCATATGACAAAAACAAAGTTGAAAAATAACAGACTTACTGGCAGGATCAACAGACAATATATATATATATATATATATATATATATATATATATATATACACAGTGAAGAACAGAAGTATTTGAACACCCTGCGATTTTGCAAGTTCTCCCACTTAGAAATCATGGAGGGGTCTGACATTCACATTGTAGGTGCATTCCCACTCTGAGAGACAGAATTAAAAAAAAAAAATCAGGAGGATCACATTGTATGATTTGTAAAGAATGTCTTTGTCTTGCACTGCTGAACAGAAGTATTTGAACCCCTGAGAAGATCCGTGTTAATATTTGGTACAGAAGCCTTTGTTTGCAATTACAGAGGTCAAACGTTTCCTGTAGTTCTTGACCAGGTTTGCACTGCAACAGGGATTTTGGCCCACTCCTCCACACAGATCTCCTCTAGATCTGTCAGGTTTCGGGGCTGTCGCTGAGCAACACAGAGTTTCAGCTCCCTCCAAAGATGTCCTATTGGATTTAAGTCTGGAGACTGGCTAGGCCACTCCAGAACCTTGATATGCTTCTTACGGAGCCACTACTTGGTTATCCTGGCTGTGTGCTTCGGGTCGTTGTTCATGTTGGAAGACCCAGCTACGACCCATCTTCAGTGCTCTGACTGAGGGAAGGAGGTTGTTGCTCAAAATCTCACAATAAATGGCCCCATTCATCCTCTCCTTAATACAGTGCAGACGTCCTGTCCCCTTCAAGAAAAGCACCCCCAAAGCATGATGTTACCACCCCCATGCTTCACAGTAGGGATGGTGTTCTTGGGATGCAACTCATCTTTCTTTTTCCTCCAAAAACGACGAGTGAAGTTTAGACCAAAAAGTTCTACTTTGGTCTCATCTGACCACATGACTTTCTCCCATGCCTCCTCTGGATCATCCAGATGGTCATTGGCAAACTTCAGACGGGCCTGGACATGTGATGACTTGAGCAGGGGATCCTTCCGTGCAATGCATGATTTGAAACCATGACGGTGTAGTGTTCTACCAACAGTGACCTTTGAAACTGTGGTCCCAGCTCTCTTCATGTCATTGACCAGCTCCTCCCTTGTAGTTCTGGGCTGATTCCTCACCTTTTCTTATCATCAGTGATACCCTATGAGGTGAGATCTTCCATGGAGCCCCAGTCCAAGGGAGACTGACAGTCATCTTTAGCCTCTTCCATTTTCTACCAATTGCTCCAACAGTTGATCTATTTTCACCAAGCTGCTTGGCAAATTGCCCCATAGCCCTTTCCAGCCCTGTGGAGGTCCACAATTTTGTCTCTGGTGTCTTTTGACAGCTCTTTCGGTCTTGCCCATGGTATTAGTTGGCGTCTGACTGACTGTGGGGTGGACAGGTGTCTTTATAGAGCTCGGACAGGTGCTACTAAGTTAGATTAATGAGTGGAGTAGAGGTGGACTTTTTAAAGACACAGTAACAGGTCTTTGAGAGTCAGAATTCTTGCTGTTTCTTAGGTGTTCAAATGTTCAGCAGTGCGAGACAAATAAATTCTTTAAAAACCATACAATGTGATTTCTTGATTTTTTTTTTTTTAAATTCTGTCTCTCAGAGTGGGAATGCCCCTACAATGTGAATGTCAGACCCCTCCATGATTTCTAAGTGGGAGAACTTGCAAAATCACAGGGTGTTCAAATACTTCTGTTCCTCACTGTATATAAAAAACCCTAAATATGAATGCAGCCACCACATATAAGAATTAGTAATCTGCAATATAATACATTTTTATTATATACGTTCCTAACTCCAGAAACCACTAAACAGCTCATCCACTCCCTCATCATATCACGACTTGACTACTGCAACTCCCTCCTCACTGGCCTGCCTCTCCGCTGGCTATCCCCGCTTCAGTCGATCCTGAATACGGTTGCCAGACTCATTCACCTTTCCAACCGCTCCGTTTCCGCCACCCACCTCTGCCAATCCCTCCACTGACCATTCAGTGTTCTCCACCCCCCTCTGCCAATCCCTCCACTGGCTTCCGATTGCGCAACAGATCAAATTCAAAATCCTAACACTGATGTACAAAGCTGTCCACCATACTGCCCCGAACTACATCACTGACCTAATATCCAAGTACCACCCAACACGCACACTCCGCTCCTCACAAGACCTCCTTCTCTCTAGTTCCCTGGTCTCCTCCTCCCATGCCCGCCTCCAGGACTTCTCCACGGTGTCACCCATCCTCTGGAACTCCCTGCCCCAACCCATCAGATTATCACCTACTCTCCTCTCCTTTAGGCGCACCCTGAAAACCCAACTCTTCAGGGAAGCCTACCCCACCCCCTGCTAACTTGCCGACCTCCTCCACTCTTCCTACCACCCCATCCCCCACAGCTATCTCCTCCTGTACCACCATCCCCTCCCTCCTAGATTGTAAGCTCCAAAGAGCAGGGCCCTCAATCCCTTCATGTTTTGCATTGTATTGGTATTGTTCTGTCACATGTTCTGTCCCCCTTTGTAATGTACAGCGCTGAGCGAACTATTGGCGCTTTATAAATACTGTATAATAATAATAATAATAATTTTTTATTTTTGGGTTTAATAGTGCTTTAAACTAACACTAATATATTTTACTAGTACTTTTTAGTATTTGTCATGTTATTTTTTATATTAACAAGGATAAATGATAACACCTCTCATGACCTGCATATACTTTTTATTTTCTTTTACCTTTTATATTGCAGGCTTTGTCAGACTTTTGTAACAAAAACAAAACAAAAAAATCTCTTACAGCCTCAAGGTCAGCTGGAGCAAATATATTGCAGCTTTGTGAGTTATTGCTTCAAGATATCAAAGCTTCTCTCCGGCACACAACGTTCTGTTTATTCTTTCTTATATTTAGAAGCTTCTGTGACCATGACATTTATAGACAGGTGTCATATGTACATGGATTAAAGGAAGATAAGATTCATGGAGACACTTTGAATCCATATGAGTCCTTACAATGCTAAATCCTCGAGTGATGACATATATTCTGTTATTTCATGTAAGGAAAGAGCTTCTGGTTTCAGAACCAAGATGAAGCCTAGAAAACTGGTGTTAGAACTCCAGAGAACACTGCACAGAGCTCCAGATATGTGGGTTCAGAACCTTGGACAACACCACAAAGCATTCAGACCTTGGCTTAGAACCTTGGATTATTACATTACATTACATTGAGTTTATATAGCGCCAAAGGGTTTGCTCAGCGCTGTACAATAGAGGGGGGGACAATACATGAAACAGTTACAGCAACTACAAACAGCACACGAGGGGTTATAGGGCCCTACTCTTTCGAGCTTACAATCTAGGAGGGAGGGGGTAATGGTACAGGAGGAAGTGGCTGTGGGGGATGGAGTGGTAGGAGGAATGAGGGAGAGCGGCAGTTAGGTGAGGGTGGGGTAGGCTTCCCTGAAGAGGTGGGTTTTCAGGGAGCGCCTGAAGGTGAGGAGGGAAGGTGACAGTCTGATGGATTGGGGTAGTGAGTTCCAGAGGATGGGGGAGGACCTGGAGAAGTCTTGCAGACGTGCGTGTGAGGAGGAGACCAGGGAGCAAGATAGAAGGAGGTCCTGTGAAGAGCGAAGGGTACGGATAGGGTGGTACTTGGGAATCAGGTCGGTTAGGTAGTTTGGGGCAGTGTTGTGAACGGCTTTGTATTGGATAGCACTACACAATATACCGCGTTCCAAATGTTTATGCAAATTCTATTTAAGTGTCATAAAGATGAAATATTTTGTTTTTCAGTTTAACTCATGGATGGCATTGTGTGTCAGGGCTCTTTTGATCACTGAAAACAATCTGGGACACCTGTGATAATTAGATTGGCCGGTGAGCCCAATTTAAGGAAAAACTACTAAAGGAGGGTGTTCCACATTATTAAGCAGAGCACCATTTTCAAGCAATATGGGGAAGAAAAAGGATCTCTCTGCTGCCGAAAAGAGTGAAATAGTTCAATGCCTTGGACGAGGTATGAAAACATTCGATATTTCACAAAAACTTAAGCGTGATCATCGCACTATTAACCACCCTAGCGGTCTGATTATTTCCAATTTTTTGGTGCTGAAAGCGGTACATTATTTTTTTGCATGGAAATATGTAGTTTTTTTTTTTATTGTAGGCTGTAATTTTTAGGAATAACTCACTAAAAAATCTGTCCGAACAAGAGTCTAGTAAACATCCCGGGTATGATAAAAATTTGAAACACGAAAATAATAAATTATAATTTAATAAATAATCATAAAAAATAATAATATAATAATAATAATAATAAATTTAATTCAATTATATAATCAAACCAAAAACACTGAAATTTGAAATACAGCGCCAAGTTCTCACATCGCTGAGCAAAGTCGCAGAATCGTTTTCAGTGTCTGATGACGAATTTCCCCCACAAATCATTATCACTCAATTCTGCAAGTGGTTCTGATTTACTATCGCTGTTCTCTAGCTGATCTAAATCCGCTTTTGACCTAAAGGGACACTTTTTGGACGCCATGGACTTTTCTCAGTTTCCAGGCAGAAAGAACAGACAAAATGCAGGCAGGGGACAGGACAAAGCACTCGGGACAAAATGTATGTGAAATGGGTTGAAACAGCAATGTTTTGCTATGTAAAATTTGTTTTGAAAAAAATGACATTTTTTAAAATTTTCAAATTTCCCGCCGCCGCCCGCCCGTACGTCCCGACGTCACAGGGACCGGAACACAGAAGCCAGATGCCGGAGGAGATGGCCCTGGGGACGCTGCAGGGGACACATCGCGGGGGAGCGAAGGACAAGGTGAGATCTGCAGGGACTCCCTATGCAGCGCCGCATGGTAAGCCCGAGTGTAGCTCGGGGTTACCGCTTTTGGCACTGACATTTTACCCCGAGCTACACTCGGGAATACCGCTAGGGAGGTTAAGAGATTTGTGGCTGACTCAGAGCACAGACGGGTTGGTGCAGATAAAGGCACATTGAGGAAGATTTCTGCCAGATCCATGCATTGGATCAAGAGAGCAGCTGCTAAAATACCATTACATAGCAGCAAACAGATATTTGAAGCTGCTGGTGCCTCTGGAGTCCCACGGACATCAAGGTGTAGAGTCCTTCAGAGTCTTGCAACTGTGCATAAACCTTCTATTCGGCCACCAATAACCAATGCTCACAAGCAGAAATGGCTGCATTGGGCAAAAAAATACATGAAGACTAACTTTCAAACAGTCCTGTTCACTGATGAGTGCCGTGCAACCCTGGATGGTCCAGATGGATAGAGTAGTGGATGGTTGGTGGACGGCCACCCCTGTTCCAACAAGGCTGCGACATCAGCAAGGCGGTGGTGGAGTCATGTTTTGGGCCGGAATCATGGGAACAGAGCTGGTCGGCCCCTTTAGGGGCCCCGAAGGTGTAAAGATGACCTCTGCAAAGTATGTGGAGTTTATGACTGACCACTTTCTTCCCTGGTACAGAAGGAAGAACTACGCTTTCCGTAATAAAATCATCTTCATGCATGACAATGCACCATCTCATGCTGCAAAGAAAACCTCTGCATCAATGGCTATTATGGGGATAAAAGGAGAGAAAGTCATGGTGTGGCCTCCATCCTCCCCTGACCTCAATCCTATTGAGAACCTTTGGAGCATCCTCAAGCAAAATATCTATGAGGGTGGGAGGAAGTTTACATCCAAACAGCAGCTCTGGGAGGCCATTATGACATCTTGCAAACAAATTCAAGCAGAAACTGTCCAAAAACTCACAAGTTCAATGGATGCAAGACTTGTGAAGCTGCTATCAGATAAGGGCTCCTATGTTACAATGTAACGTGACCGGTTCAAATGTTTAAAAAAGTTAAAATGTTGTTAAAAGTTTGATTGAAATAGCTTTTGATTTCAGTAAATATGCTGCAAACACAACAAATGACAATTTTCAGTTCTTTTCAACCTATAAAGTGTTTTGAAACTTACTGTGCAGAATAATTTGGAACAAAAATCCTGTTATCATTAGGAGGTTTGTTCAATAAAATGTGAATTGTCCTCTTATAGTTGTAACCTGAGAATTATGCTGACTGTTATTTACATCAATTATTGAGGTAAATGAGAAAAATATCATTTGCATAATAATTTGGAACACAGTGTAGCAAGACAACCAAGGTAAAGAACTTTATACAGCACCATACAGCAGTCAGATAACTTGAGATTAGACTCTTAGACATCACCACTTAGTAATAAAAAAAACCTGCATTTAGAACTTTTGGACAACACCACAAAAGCATTCAGATAGCTTGAGTTTATAACCTTGGATAGCGCCATACAACAATCAGATAACCTGGGTTCAGTGCCTTGGACAGCACCATGCAACAGTCAGATAACCTGGTTTCAGAACCGAGATGAAGCCTGAAAAACCAGGGTTGGAACTCCAGACAGCACTATACACAGGTTATTATACACATATTTGGATTCAGAGCCTTTGCTAACACTGTTCTGCAGTCAGATATCCTGGCTTCAGAACCTTGGACAATGCCACAGAACAGTCAGATAACCTGGGTTTAGAACCTTGGATAGCACCACAACAGTCAGATAACCTGGGTTCAGAACCTTGGACAGCACCATGCAACAATCAGATAACCTGGGTTCAGAACCTTGGACAGCACCATGCAACAATCAGATAACCTGGGTTCAGAACCTTGGACAGCACCATGCAACAGTCAGATAACCTGGGTTCAGAACCTTGGACAGCACCATGCAACAGTCAGATAACCTGGGTTCAGAACCTTGGACAGCACCATGCAACAGTCAGATAACCTGGTTTCAGAACCAAGATGAAGCCTGAAAAACCAGGGTTGGAACTCCAGACAGCACTATACAGAGGTCAGAGATATATTGGATTCAGAACCTGCCTTGGCTAACACACCATTCTGCAGTCAGATATAACCTGGCTTCAGAACCTTGGACAATGCCACAGAACAGTCAGATAACCTGGGTTTAGAACCCAGTCAGATATGGATAGCACACACAACAGTCAGATAACCTGGGTTCAGAGCTTTATACAGCACCATAAAGCTGTCAGATGACCTGAGTTCAGAACCTTGGACAATGCCACAAATAATTCAGATAACCTGGGCCCATAACGCTGGGCAGCACCATACAAAAGTCAGATAACCTGGGTTCAGAGCCTTGGACGACACTACAAAACAGTCCAATAACCTGGAATAAGAATCTTAGGGGTTTATTTACTAAAAACAGACTGTTCACTTTGCAAGGAAAATTTCCAAAGAGCCTTCTGAATATGGTGAAGATCTGCTGATTTCCATTATCCAATCATGAGCAACAAAAAATGCTGTTTTATATTTTTATTTTAAATATTTTATATATTTTTATTATATTTTATATGCATTTCATTTGCGCTTGATTGGATATCCTTTGCAAAGTGCAATTTCACCACATTAACAACGCAGTATACAGCTGTCAAATAATCTGGGTTCAGAATTTTGCACGGCATCACACAGCAATCAGATAAATTGGGTTCAGATTCTTGCACAGCAGCCTAGGACAGCACCACAGAACAGTTATATAACCTGGGTTCAGAACCTCAGACAGCACCACAGCAATCTTATATCCTGGTTGCAGTACCTTGGATAGCACCACCCAACAGTCAGATAACCTAGGTTCAGAACCTTGAACAGCACCACACAGCAGTCAGATTACTTGGGTTTAGAACCTTGAAAAAAAAACATACAGCAGTCAGATAGCCTGGGTTTAGAACCTCAGACAGCACCACAGAGCAGACATATAACCTGTGTTCAGAACCTCAGACAGCACTAACAGAGCAGTCTCATAATATGGATTCATAATCTAGGACAGCACCACAGAGCAGTCATATAACCTGGGTTCAGAACATCATACAGCACCACGAAGCAATCTTATATCCTGGGTGCAGAATCTTGGATAGCACTACCTAAAAGTCAGATAACGTAGGTTCAGAACCTTGGACAGTGCCACACAGCAGTCAGATAACTTGGGTTTAGAACCTTGGAAAAAAACATACAGCAGTCAGATAACCTGGGTTTAGAACCTCAGACAGCACCCCAGAGCAGAGCTACAAAACAGTCCAATAACCCGGATCACAGGGGTTTATTTAATAAAGTGAAATAAACTGTTCACTGTGCAAGGGAAATTTTCCTAACGCCCAGTGAATATGGTGGAGATCGGCTGATTTCCATTAGTGCACAACAGTCAGATAATCTGGGTTCAGAACCCTGGACAGGATCACAGAGCAGTCATATAAACTGGCTTCAGATCCTTGGATAGAACCATACAACAGTCATACAACCTGGATTCAGAATCTTGGACAGCAACATAAAAACAGTCATATATCCTGAGTTCAGAACCTTGGACAGCATTACAGAGCAGTCATATATCCTGGGTTCAGAACCTTGGACAGTACCACAAAGCAGTCATATAACCTGGCTTCAGATCCTTGGACAGAACCATACCGTAGTTATATAACCTGGATTCAGAACCTTGGCCAGTACCACAAAGCAGTCATATAACCTGGCTTCAGATCCTTGGACAGAACCATACCGTAGTTATATAACCTGGATTCAGAACCTTGGACAGCACCACAAAGCAGTCATATAATCTGGGTTCAGTTCCTTAGATACAACCGTACAGCAGTCATATGACCTGCATTGAGAATCTTGGACAGCACCACAAAGCAGTCATATAACCTGGCTTCAGATCCTTGGACAGAACCATACCGTAGTCATATAACCTGGATTCAGAACCTTGGACAGCACCACAAAGCAGTCATATAATCTGGGTTCAGAACCTGCGACAGCACCGCAGAGCATTCATATAACCTAGTTTATGATCCTTGGATAGGACCATACAGCAGTCAAAAACCTTGATTCAGAACTTTGGATAGCACCATACAGCAATAAGATGACCTGGGTTCAGAACTTTGGATAGCACCACTCTGCATACAGGTAATGTTTCAGTACCTTGGGAAGCACTGCACTGAATCTTCAAAAAATAATGTATTTTCAAATACAAGTCTCTGAAGTTGGTTTGATGAAGTGTATGTGTGTTGACAATGAATATGCTTAGGGAGAGAGAAGAAAGGCACGATTAATATTCTGCCGCTCCTTCGTAATCCAATCACAGCATGGTGCCAGGGAGGCCACCAATCAGTATTGCTTAATACAATGCAATTATCCAAATACAAATCATAAGGCAGGTAAAAAAAAGAAAACCCCCATGTATGCATTTCTACTGTGTTAAATAGTGAAGAAACACAGGAGTTCAGCTTGGAAAAATGAAACCTCAGATTAGGTTATTATGGGAAATCAGTTCCATTTACGTATAGGTTTTGTTAATCAACCATATTGTGTTTTCAAGATCAATCCCAAGATATGAAAGTGAATACGGGTGACAAATGTGAATTGCCCCTTTACACCCTGTGATCATTAGCATCCTGGAGATCACATGAGCGCTGTTTATCGTATTGTTGATCATAGTATGAAGGAATATGTTGCATTATTCATTCCGAATAATGAAGATGCACAGAGTAATATTTACATCCACATTGCTGAATGCAGTAAATACTGAGGATCGGCGGGTGACATCTTATATGCGATGTGCCAGAAGGTGACATACCCTTCAGGCATTCTGATTTTGCAGTGGAGACCTTATCATGACATTGAGAGATTGATGGATCTTCACTGAATGCCGCATATAATCAGCTCAGTGCTTGAACTGCCATCGTATAGAAACTGCACAGCTGTATACCAAATATTAGTGCCC